ACTCACCACTAGAAAATATTAATTCCTAACTAATTTCTTGCAGCATAAATACACTGTAAATACAACACTATGAATTAAATGAGCCATACAAAAATTAAAAATTTATACTACATGATTTCACTTGCGTATAATTTGAAATGGTGTACAAATTTTAACTCCCTTGTTATGTTTTAATTGAACGTGTAATTGCCCTGAACCTGTTTCTTCATTTCTGAAGGTAACATGAGATAATAAATTCTAATTTTAGACAAATACTGTGCAGAATAAATGAAATGTGTTTCAATACTCTGTTGAGTTCAAAGACAGTGTCCCAGGTTAGGAGTGTGTGTGTGAGCAATGCATATATTTTTCTCTCAAGTAAGTACATGCATACACATATAAACACATGCACACAGACTCACATTCACGTATATGTGCATGCACAGAGAGTCATTTATCATCCCATCTAGTATGAAGAAAGAATCCTTGAGAGACATTTGGAGAATATAGAAATAAAAAGAAGAAAAGTGTGAATGAACATGAAACAGAAAAAAATTAGAAATTTCGACACAAAGATTTAAAGTGAAATATGGGATCTTAATCTTAACGAATAACTTGTTCTATCTTAAAGCTTCAAAGGCTTCGAGGTCAGCACCACATTTACATTCCTGCGATGGGAAATTCTTTGTACCACCTATGGGGCAAAATACCTCTAAATTAGCTCTTCTTTTTCTGTTTAATGTGGGATTTCAACACAAAATACCTTTGCTCAAAGGAAGCTCACTTTTGAGGTTTCAACTGAGTTCCCTGGAACAATACCTTATCGGAGAAGCGTCTATATTAGTGCCCCATTGCTGTTGTTACAAATTACTACGCCAGTGGTTTAAAAGAAACAACTTGCTTCTTAAAGCGTTCGTGTTCAGATGCCTTAAATAGGTCTTAAGGGCTTAGCTCAAAATGTCTGCAGGGCTTGGATTTTCCTGGGTGATCCGGGGGAGAATGCAATGTGTTCCCCATTCGAGTGTCCAGGGGCCACCTGCCTACTTGGCCCATGGCCCACGGCCCATCCTCCGTCTTCAATGCCAGCAGCAGAGCATCTTCAGATGGCTCTCTGACTCCAATTCTTCTGCTCTCCTCCGCATTGAGAGGGCCACTGTGATGACAATAAGCCTCCCTGGGTGATCCCAGCCAGGCTCCTTATCGTACGACAAATGACTAATCCCTTTATTACATCTGCTCTCTCAGTTACCCTGCTGGCGAGCTAACATATTCCAAAGTTCTCCGAAGCAGGACGTTGACATGTTTTGAGGCCCCTGTTCTGCCTAATACGAAGCCTTTTCCAGATACAAGTTATTGTGTCTCTCTGGAGCTCTAATGTGAAAGAATCAAGTGCAGAATTTATCTTCACGTATGGGATGAGTGGGAAAAACGTCTTTCGAAAGCACATACCCTGACGGCTCCTGGTGGAGAACACCTGGAATTACGCTCACCTAACTCTAACACAGAGCCACAGCCTAGCTGCTGAAACACAGAGCCATAGCCTAGCTTCTTCCACAGAAGAAGACCAGCAGCTTCCACGTCACCCGGGAGTTTGTCAGAAATGCCGTCTCTGCACCCCCGGGAGACCCGATAAATCAGAATTTGCAGCTGAGCTCCAAACTTTGGTGATTTGTATGCACAATGAAATGGACAAGGCCCGGCCTAGAAGAGGTGTTTTTACCTTGTCACTGCTGACACCTGGGTCTGGGGACTCATTTGCGTTGGGTGCTGTCCTGCGCATTGTAGGCGTCAGCAGCCTGCGGAATTGCACTATCCCCAGGGCATCGTCATCTGTGTTTGAGACGCAAAGGCCTAGATTCTCAGAACTGGAAACATCCTGAGTGCAATGAAAACTCCATCCCTTCCTTGGCCGATACCTTTAGCACAGCATTAAATCCCTCTGCGCCCCATTTCTGCACCGGAGAAGGTAGTCTACCAACGCACTACCTCACAAAATGCATCTCTGAAACATGAATGTGACTGTTGTTACAAAGTGCTAAGCTGGGCTATGGTGCCGAAAATCTACATGCATCTCTAATATTTAATACACATTTTAGGGTGAAGGACCCAATGGCAGCTCTTAATTTGTGGTATGACTATGAGATCCCTAATCGTTTTGGCCAAACAACCCTGAAGCCAAAGAGTACAGTGCCCAAGGTGTTCTACTAACGGAACAAATATCTCCCATCTCTTCATGAGGAAGATAGTAATTGTGTGGGGCTATCTGGGACACGTCCCATGATAAATCAGTGCTTTGAAGACCCAAGGACCAGTCGGACGAATTTTTCGGTATAAGACTTCTCGGCCTTCAATTACAGTTTACCTTTAATGGTATTCTGTATTCGTTTCAGGTATACAGCCGCGTGATCAGACAATCGTGCACTTTACACACTGATCCCCTGCCCCTGCCCCGCCATCGTCCCTGGTATTTCCGGCACCCGCTGGCCGCCCCTGCAGTTATCACAGTATTATTGACTATGCTCTCTCAACTGTACTTCACATCCCCGAGACGGTTTTGTGACTCCCAGTTTGCACTTCTAATTCTCTTTACGCTTTGGCCCAGTTCCTCGGCCCACTTCCCCTCTGGCAACCACAAGTCTGCTCTCTGTGTCTATGAGTCTGTTTCCATTTTGTTTGTTCATTTATTTTGTTCTTCAGATTCTGCATTGAAGGGGAATCAAATGGCGCTTGTCTTTTTCTGACCGACTTATTTCCCTGAGCAGAATACCCTGTAGGCCCCCCCTTCCAGAAAGTTTAACTCCGAGTTGGGGTGAGGTGCTGGGAGGTGTAGCCGTCAGGAAGCAGAGCAGTTAGTGGAGAAGAACTAAAGACAGCTGTACTCACTGGCTCATTAGCTAGTCTCCTAGGAACAGGGAATCAGCAGGAAAACTTTCCACTCTGTCCAGACCAGCGTCCCCAAGGGAAATTGTGTGCCTAGAGGGTACAGTACTGAGAGGTAAATGTGCCTCATGAGCAGAGCTAGGGAGTTGTGAATCGCCCCTGTACTGTTGCACCTCAGAGTGCGTAGCCTTTGAGGGGACGAAACGTGGCTGTTGCTCTTGGGGTCCTGAATCTGGCGGGGAGACCAGTGTCCGACCACTCCCTGCCGCCGTATTTGGGGCAGAGTTTCGGTCTCCATCATCAACCACCCGGGGAAGATTCTGGACTTCCGCAGGGAAACCTTGTCAGTTCCCATGCAGGTGAGTCTGAGAGCCCCACAGACACGGCGGGAGAGGCTCAGAGAGACCGGAAACCAAGGTCTTGTACCCGAAATCACCTGAGAACCATTCTAGGCTAGCCCAGATGCCAGTGATCAGTGCGGTTGGTGGCTGGCTTTACTAATAAATGAACATTTATTCCTGATGCTAAAAGGAAAGCGAACTTTGTACTCAGAAAGGCAAGTGTCATTGTTGGCCGTTCAGTGGTATTAATAGAAGACAAATAAAGAGGGTGAACTGGAGGTGTGGTCCTTCCGGTAGAAGTAGAGCATAAGTTCCATGGAAAGGAACAGAGGAATAGGTTATTAGCTGTGGAGGAATAGGCAGTGAGTTGAGGGCATTTAACAGTTTTATGATGGGGCCAGTGGACTGTGTTTCCATATGTATGGGAAAGATCCAGACCAAGGAAGGCTCACAAATACACCCTTGGAATCGCAGTGCACGAGACATGTTTTTCTCAGCATCTTCTCTCACTCTACCTATTCATATGAAAAAACATTTATTAGGTAGGTGAAATCGAGCATATTGATGAGATTCGCTTGTAGTTATTTCATTACCTGTGGGGCTGAGTACTGAAATGTGTAGGTTTGTTAGTCATTTAGAGTCTCTATTAAGATTTGTCTGTGTAAGTTGTTTGCTTTCCTTGTGTACTGATGTATTTATGTTAAATTAAGTTAGACTACAGTATTATACCTTTCACTATGTTGTACACCTGAAAGTTCCTTGCTTTTGGATAGTGTTATCAGGGTACTTTTATTCCTTTTTTGCTTGTTTAAGTATAGTCTGTATACAATATTATGTTAGTTTCAGATGTACGATATAATGATTCACCATCTGTATACATTGCACTGTGATCCACAGATGAGGTTCAGTAATCACCTGTCAATGTGGAAACTTATTACAATATTATTGACTATATTTTCTTATTTTATTCTTGTTTGGGTTCTTTCTGAGAAAGAATTGAAGTGTTTTACATGAACTGACTGTTTTCCATTTAGTTCTTTTACGTATGCATTTGTGGTGAATGTATGGAGTTGATAGATTTTGCGTGGTGCAATCTAGCAGTCAGCCATACTGTGTTCTTTCCATTGCTGTTTCAAAAAATGCTTTTAAATTGAAGTAAAATTGTTTAGTTTAAGTAATTAATTTATTAAATATTTTTTGACCACATGGAAAAAGACAGATATAATGTTTTTGCAGTTCTTGTGTAAAAGGAAAAAAGAAGTAAACTTTCAGAAGTTTGAAAATTGTAAACACTAATCTGTGTACTGTTACACTTAACAACAAATTAGCATGCAATGTTTTGGAATTAAATTGACATAAGACATATTAGTTTCAGTCATAAACATAATAATTCCATATTTGTATATATGAAAAGATGACCTCCACGGTAAGTGTAGTTGACCTCTGTCACCACACAGTTACAAATGTTCTCCTGTGGTAAGGACTTCGAACTCTCCTCCCTAGGGACTTTCCAACACACAGTGCAGTGGTACTAGCTTGAGTCACCATGCTGCGCTTTGCACCGCATCCACTGCCTTTTAGTTTTATTTTTCTTACTGAAAACATTGAGTAAGACACAAGAATTTTTCATGTATCTTTACAAGGACAAAGAATTCTAATGAGAAATGGCACGAGGGATGTCCCTAAAGATGCCAGACCACACACCAAATATGAAATGAATCTCTTGACTCTACAATATAAATGGTAGCGCTTTCGCTAGGGTACTATGCTTGCATGTGTAAATGAGTCGTGTACTTTTCCTATCCTGGTAGTCACCTCCACCACATGGAAGCAGACAATCTTACACAGATTTCAGAATTCCTTCTGCTGGGACTATCAGAGGCACCGGAGCTGCAGCCCCTCCTGTTTGGGCTGTTCCTCTCCATGTACCTGGTCACTGTGCTGGGAAACCTGCTCATCATCCTGGCCGTCAGCTCAGACTCCCGCCTCCACACGCCCATGTACTTCTTCCTCTGCAACCTGTCCTTGGCTGACATCTGCTTCACCTCCACCACCATCCCGAAGATGCTGGTGAACATCCAGACACAGAGCAAAGCCATCACCTATGCAGGCTGCGTCGCGCAGATGTATTTTTTCATGCTCTTTGTAGGATTGGACAACTTCCTCCTGACCGTGATGGCCTATGACCGGTTTGTGGCCATCTGTCACCCCTTGCACTACACAGTTATCATGACCCCACAGCTCTGTAAACTGCTGGTTCTGCTGTCATGGGTCATGAGTGTACTGCATTCCTTGCTGCAGTGCTTAGTGGTGTTGCGACTATCTTTCTGTCCGGGCTTGGAAATCCACCACTTTTTTTGTGAAATCAAACAAATGGTCCAGCTTTCCTGTTCTGACACCTTTCTTAATGACTTGGTGATGTATTTTGGAGTTGGGCTGCTGGGTGGGGGTCCCCTGGCTGGGATCCTTTACTCTTACTCAAAGATAGTGTCCTCCATACGTGCCATCCCATCAGCTCAGGGGAAGTATAAAGCCTTTTCCACCTGCGCGTCTCACCTCTTGGTTGTCTCCTTATTTTATGGTACAGGCCTAGGCGTGTACCTCAGTTATTCCGGCACCCGCAGCTCACAGTCAAGTGCAACAGCCTCGGTGATGTACACCGTGGTCACACCCATGCTGAACCCCTTCATCTACAGTCTCAGGAACAGAGATATAAAGGGGGCTCTGAAAAGATTAGTTGGGATGGCAGCTCTAAAAGGGCCAGTTGTCCTAGGTCCAAGGAAATGCCCATGATTGCAGGCCTAAATCCTCATAGCTCTCTAATGTGCGTTTTTGATCAGATGGAAGAAAGAGAAATAAGTCTCTCTTCATTTCCTTGATTTTCTGTTTGTACAATTTCAATTCATCTATACAATTTAAATCACTTCATTAACTTTTGACGTTGAGATATCTAGCTGCTTGTTCTTTGTCATTTTTCTCCTCTCTCAAAGTGATTCCCAACCTAGCATGAATTATTTGGAAATGCCCATTTATCTCATGACACTACATGGATTTCTTGAGATCAATTTCTTTTGAAATGATATATGTCATACTGACTAATTTTTCTTTCATTTGACTAAAAAAAAAATCTTAAGTTGTACTACTGCTATGGAATTAAGCTGCACTTGGTAACCAAGGCCACTTATATCATTTTGTAGGGGAGGAAAATATAAGAGCACAGTGGAACACTTCTTGTACCTCATTTCTTCACATATCACTGCTCTTTCTGAAAAGGTAGACTTTAACATACAGTGTGTTTTACAATAGATGATTGAGTTGTCTTCTCTCATTAGGATCCTGATTTTTATTTAGCTTGGTGTCCACATTCTTACCATAGTCACAGGCAAAACTGACAATGAAATCATGTGTCCCATTCTGGTTGATGATGAAAAACAAATTTTAATACGTATTTTAATTTAATATGTCCTTCAAGTCAATGATGATCTTAAGTATGAAGAAGCAAAATTTTGTCCTCCATTTATTACTATGTACACTATTTTTATGCTGTATGTTTACTTACTGATGTAGTATATTGGTGTCTATGTATAAAGTAATTTATCCTTGGGGTGAAGTATTGCCTGGTATAATTATGTTTTCTACTGAATTGTCTTCCTGCCTCCACTTGCAAACTTTCATCGCTGCCTCAAGATACGATTCTCTCTATTGTTCTAAGTGAAGCGTCTCCCCCTACTATAAATATTGTCATAACGAGTAAAGGGGTAGGGAAAAATTATATCAATCTCATCCATTGTATATATTACCTATGTGATACATAGACGTGTCATTTGCATTCATAAATGACGAAAGGATGACTCACTGGAGAGCTTGAATTCGTGACCAGTTCTGTGACCTGAGGTCCTAAGTGTTGCACAAACATACATGTTCTTTCAACCTCTCCTGCTTACCTGTAAGGGATTCTCAATAGACTTACTCTTTCATGCAGTTATCTGAAATCAACTGCAATAGCAGAGTAATCATGGACGTTGTCTTCAAACATCAGAACCAAGGCGTACACTGAGAAGCAGAGGTCATGGTAATTTCCTTCAGTTCTGTTCCCTTTGATTACTGTTCTCAGCTGTTGCTGCGTGCCAAGTCACCCGAGAAGCAAATGTTTTAGCATGATGTATTGACTCCAACGGGGTTATATGGTGGGGAGTCGCTCTGCGTTCTGGTTGTGTCCTCACGGGTCGGCAGTCAGCTGTCCGTCTCTGTATCGTGTGTGGAAGGCTCATCCACGAGGCTGAGTGTGGCTGTAGTGCTCCTCTGTCCCGAACCGATTCGTGTCAGTTTATTCCCTTTACCTAGGAAGGTGAGTCTTTAATACCTGGGAAGAACAGATTTCCATGTGATAATTGTTTTATTTTAGTTCCTATATTCACAGATAACATTTGTTTTCTTCTCGGTTAGAAGAGATCCTCCCAGCACTTCTGTGGGTGACTCAGCTACTTATGCTCTAGATTGTCCCTGAGCCACTCACTACAAGAAACTTTTACTTCCTAACTAATTTATTGGAACATAATTACATACAAAATACTGCACAGGGAACATGCTGAATTACATGAGCTTACAAAAATTAAGACCTTATACTACACCATCCCATTTGCATATAATTTGAAAAGGTGTATGTGTTAATGCCTTAAGTATGTTATTGTTAAACATGTAATCTCCCTAAACCTGTCTCTTCATTTCTGAAGGTAAAATGAGATAATAAATTTTAATTTTAGACAGATATTGTGTGGAATAAAGGCAATGTGTTGAAAAACTCTGTTGAGTTCAAAGACAATGTTCAATGTTAGGAGTGTATGCGTGTGTGGAGTTGTATACATTTTTCTCTCAAATAAGCCCATTCAAATACATATACATCCGTACACACAACTCACATATATTCCCCTTTATGATGCTGAAAGAAATCGTGAAAGTTGCGGGGGAATAGAAATAAAAAGAGGGATTTTTGGAATGAACAGAAAAAGAGAAAATGTAAACATTTTGACACGAAAATTATCGTAGGGGTATAATTTTAATAAAATTTTGTTTCTATGTTGTTCCTCAAAGGCTTCAAGGCCAAACATTTACCCTAATGCAGCGGGGAATTCTCTGTACTACCTGGTGGGGAAACATATCTGCACATGGACTCTTAATTTTCTTTTCTAAAAAATTAAACCATGTTTAAATTGTTATGCTATTACACTTGTCCCATTGTCCTCACACCCCGCCCTCCTCTGCCCATCCCACCCCCGCTCCCCCTGTCAGTCCCCACGCTGTTGTTCATGTCCGCGGGCCAGTCATACGGGTTCTTTGTCTAGTCTCATTCTCTTCTTTCCACCGTAGTTCCCCTTCCCCTCCCCTCTGGTCACAGTCAGTATGTTTCATGTTTCCATGCCTGTGTTTCTATTTTGTTCTTTAGTTTATTTTGTTCATTAGATTCCTTGTATAGGTGAGATCATATGGCATTTGTCTTTCACTGACTGGCTTATTTCACTTAGCGTAATATTCTCCAGTCCCATCCGTGCTGTCACAGAAGGGGGGGCTTCCTTTCTCTTTCTGCTGCATAGTATTCCATTGTGTAAACATACCACAGATTTTTGGTCCAGTCATTTACTGATGGGCACTTAGGCTGTTTCCAGCTTTTGGCTACTGGAAACAATGCTGCAATGAGCACGGTGGGGTACATAAGTTCTTTTGAATTGGCGACTTGGGACTCTTAGTGTATATTCTCAGCAGCAGAGTGCTGGGTCAAAAGGCAGTTCCATTTTTAGTTTTTTAAGGAAATTCCATACTTTTTTCCACATGGGTGGCCGCATCAGTCTGATATTCACCTTCTCTTTGACAGTGGGATTTTAACACAAGATGACTGTGCCTAAGAGGAGCTCACTGAATGGATTGAGGGGCTTAATAGTCATGGGGATGTAAAGTACAGCATAAGAAATATAGTCAATAATATCTTAATAACTATATATGGTGTCAGATGCTTCTAGATTTATCAGGGCAATCGCTTTGCAATGTATATAAATATCTAATCCCTATGTTGTACACTTGAAACTGATATAACATCGCATGTCAATTGTAACTGAAAAATAAACCGAAATTTAAAAATGAGAGGTTTGGGTGGGGTAGTGGAAAGTAGTGGCGGGTAAATGGAGACAAATTTATTAGAACAATAAAAAGAACACATGGAAAATAGAAACACTTGACATAAAATAACAACAAAAAAACCTTCCTGCAAACAATTTCTCTTTCTTTGTTTTATTTTATTTTGCAGTCTACATTAAATACTTTTAAATATTTAAGTTTAGTTTATTAGGGTGACATTGGTCAGTGAAATTACATAGATTTCAAGTGTACAATTTTATGATACATCATCTGTATACTGCATTGCATCACCGCCACGCAGGAAAAAGTAGTTTCAACTGTACAGCATAGTGGTTAGACAATCATATACTTTAGAAAGTGATCCCCCTGATATTTCTAGTACCCACCAGGCACTCTACGATACGGAAGGAATGCTGCCCCCAATGTTTTAAAATAACTTACAAGACCTATGAATTACAATTGACATTCATTGTTACAGTTGTTAGACATTTATGTAACTTATAAAGTGATCTCCCAATAATCTAGTACCCACCTGGCACCATAGGTAATTATTATAACATTATTGACTATATTGCCCGTGCTGTACCTACGTCCCCACGACTGTTGTGTAAATGCCAATTTGTACTTCCAAATCCCTTCCCTTGTTCACCCAGTCCCACAGCACCCTCCCACTTGACAACCATAGTTCCCCCAAACGATAATTTGTTGGATAATTATCTGTACCAAAATTTTAATCTTGCTCTAACAAATTGCCAACTGCTGGCGTAAAGCAAACAAATATCTATCTTGTAATTCTAGAAGGTCCGAGGTCCGAAATGGGTCTCTTTGGGGTAAAATTCAGATGTCTGCAGGAGCAGGATCCTTTTGGAGGCCTCTGGGTGAATGTATTTCCTTTCTACTTCCCTTTCCAGGGGCCGCCTCTTTCCTTGGCCCACGGCCCTTCCTCCATCGTCAAAAGCAGCCGCAGAGCATCTCGGACGCCTCTCGGGCTCCACTCCTTCTGGCTCTCTCCTCCACGTTTAGAGGGCCATGGCGATGGCATGGGTCCCCGCTGCAAAATCCCGGGGGAGCTTCTTAAATCAAGATCAACGATTGGCGACCTTATTCCATCTGCTAGCTTAATTCCCGGTGCTCTGTAAAATAATGTTGAAAAGTTCTTGTGATTAGAATGTGCACACCTCTCGAGGCCCTTATTCTGCCAAGTACAAAGCCTTTTCCAGGTACAAACTATTGGATGTCACTCTGGAGGCCTAATATACAAGAACCAAACACAGAATTTATGCCCCCTAGAGAGTGAGTAAAAACCTTGTCTTTTAAGTTGACACACATGGAAGATTTCTGGTGGAAAAGACCTAACATTACCTGCCCGTGACTCTAACAGAGGACCAGAGTCTTGCTGCTCAAACTGTGGGCCGCAGGCCAGGACCTGCAGCGTCAGCACCGCCTGGGGGCTTGTCAGAAACGCAGAGTACCTGGGCCCTCCAGGACGTGCTGAATCAGAACAGCATTGGAACGAGGATCCTTGATAATTTGTAGGAACGGTGACCTTGGAGAAGTGCTGGTAGCGTTTACGTTTTCCCATCTTCCACCATCAGCAGTAGGGGCGGTCTGAGGATTGGCATCGGATGCCGCCTGGTGCATCCCAGTGTTCAGCGGCACCCTTC